AAAATTAAAGCAAAACAAGGGCAATGGACTCAGAAGAAGGAATCAAGGAAGGAGAGGTCTCTCTTCTCCATGCTAGTGAAGAGCAAGTTGGAAGGAATCAAGAAGAGACTGTGGTCAAAGAGGGGGATTTCAGAAGTCAAGATCTTCATATCACATAGTTCTGTGTGAAAGTGAGGTAGAATGGTAGATAGCTGAAGTAGAGGTGGAGGTCACAGAAGTTGAGAAAGTTGAAGAACTGTGAGTCTAGGGTATTAGAATAATAATTAAAATGACAACTATAGTCTCTGAGAATGACAGCAAAACATGTAGTGTAGAGGAAAATGGTGAGCCTAGTACCAAAATCACTGAGAAAAATGGGACAATGTCCTTGAGGTCAGTAGGTAGCAGTGACAACAATCATGAGAACGTAGTATAATTGAATGGCCATGAACTTCAAAGAAGGAGCTGTGGCAGAGAGCAGTTGAGCAAGGATCTGGAAGCAACAGAATGGGAAAGGGGTATGCTGACCACATCCTTCTCCCATGTCCTGAAATTATGGGTCCAGAAGGAGTAACCAGCCTTAGTTTTGGTTAGGTGCCAAAAGCAGCTGCCAAAAATGTAGTTTTCTCCTCCCTCAACCAGTTCCAAGTCTCTACGTCTACAATATCTGTCATTTTTTATTTCTTTTCCATCCCGACAGTGTCTGTCTATCTGTCTCTGTCTCTCTCCCCCCCCAATCCATTTTACATGTCAGATTATTCTCTCTGAAATATATCATGTCATCACCTTGCTTGAAATATTTTAATGGCTCCTTACTCCCCATTAATGTAACCTGATGTTCAATCCCCTCCACAATCTGACATCAGCCTCATTTCTAGCCTTATCTAAAACTATTCCTTTTCCTTTACCTTTCATCCCAACAACCCTGACTACTTCCACCTCCCTGCCTTCATCACCTCAACCTTGAGCCCAACCCCACTCCGCAGAAACTTTATCTATCTTTTAAGGCCCATCTCGTGGTATGTCTTCCTTGAAGCCTTTCCTAATTCCTTCAGACAAAATGATCCCTCTCTCCATGGCACTTTTGTGTTTGCACTTCTCTTTTACAATGACCATATTCTGCCTCATATTTATGTGTAACCCTGCCTTCTACTTCCCCTATTGAGCTACAAATCCCCTGAAGGCAAAAGCCAGATCTTCTCTCTGATGCTCAGCATCATTCTACAGACTTCAGGAAACATTTGGTGAAGGAACACTGAGATATAACATTTCTTTGGCTAAAGGATAAAAAGGGCTTGTAGCAAAATCAGTCCCTAATTCTACTATATCCTGGGTTCTTCATGGGGTTGAAGTGCAGAATGGAAGAATTCCAGAATCATGAAGGAAAGGGGAACATAAATAAATATAATAGTTAAAAGGGCCTTCAGAGTTCTAGGATATCTTTTTTTTATTATTAAAAAAAATTCAGTTTAATGAAACAATAAATTTAAGTGTAATTTTACAATGTCTTGAGTAAATAATAAGCATTAATTCTTCAAGATTAGATATCAGGAGTTCTTAATCTAAGTTCCATGGACCACCAACAGATTCACAGATAGATTTCAGGGGAGTCCAAACACTTGGATGGGAAAAAAAAATTAAACTTTTATTTCAATATAGTTTCCTTTGCAATTCTATACATTTTATTTAATGCATTGAAAAACAATATTCTGAGAAGTCCACAGGCTTCATCAGACTGCCAAAAATATCCATGACACACACAAAAGGGTTAAGAAACTCTGTACTGAACATCAAAAGCTGTGACACAGAGGTCATCATATGTAATTACAAGTTCATTTCAAGTCTTGAAAATATAGCCGACTGAGCTGTCCTTACAATAGCAAACTCTAGGCATCTTGACTGCTAGGATAGAATGGTTTATCATTTATCTATATCTCGCTGATAAACTACAATTCATCTTCTACAATGTTATTAAGTCTTATGGTAGTATATAAGCTTTTTGAAAAAATTAATTCAGAAAAGAAGTACTTAGTGCATAAAATCATCAACAATCTTATTGTGCAAGACCAAAGTCAACATATCTACTAGCTAAGCAGAAATATACATCTGGTTAACAGTCATCAAGGTTGCAAATGTTACATTTTTCTTGCATTCAATTATGCTTGGGATATTATATATTGCTTACTGCAGATTTTAGCATTCTTTTTTATTTGAAAACGAGCAACAATTTTGCTCCTCTAGTTACACTGTATCATATATTTTTCTACTCATTCAGAGTTTCTGTATTTTAAAATCTACCCTTAAGCTTTAATAAAGTAGCAGGGAGGCAGCTAGGTGGCACAGTGGATAGAGCAATGACCCTGAAGTCAGGAGGACCTGAGTTCAAATTCGGCCTCAGACCAAACACTTGACAAGTACCAGCTGTGTGACCTTGGGCAAGGCACTTAACCCCGATTGCCTTACTAAAAAAAAAAAAATAATAATAGAATAGCAGGGAGGGGAAAAACAGCAGATCTTTAACCTCAAAAAAGCAGGGGGCTAAAAATAATTGAACCAAAAACAAACAACAAAAAAGCCCAGCAAAATCTTTATTTCTAAATATGCACTACTGGCCAAAACCATGCACATGTTCAAGAAAAATTTAAATTTAAATATTATTTGTTTTTAATATTATTTCAACATGTTTCTAAAGAAAATTTTCAGTAATGTTTGGGGAAGGCTTCAGTATTTTGGCTAAAAACTATTTATATATTTTATTACATATATATTTACATATGTGTGTTTTACATATAAAGACACTGACCAAAAATCACAGCAAATCTTTTAATACAATTGTGATTATTTAATAATTTTATTTTTTTTGTCCAGAAACTGTGAAAAGCAACAGAATGGGATTTTTTTTTCAAATTAAGTAAATTCTCTCTTCCACTGTGGCATTATTTAAAATAACTATGTCAAGATGCCATGAATACATATGACAAAATAAAATTTAAACGCTGTTATAATTTTGTTTGAAGAACGATACCTAATAATAATTATTCTGTTATTCACTGTATTATATTTCATTACAACAATCTGTTGCAAGCTCATAATATGCTTTAAAATTGCAACAACAACAACAAAAACGAAAGCTCTTTGACTCTGGTATTTTGATTATGAACAGATATTGAAAGCTGGCATTAATACAGAAATAGCAACCTATACCTTTAATTGGTTTTTTAAGCCAAAACTACAACACAGATATTACATGTTCATATCTTAGCAAACAAGCCATATGATATTAATAAGCCACAACATCATAATTTTCATAAGGAATGAAAACTAAAAATGTAAAATTTAGTTCTTACTTCTGGGATATACTTTTAGGGGTTCTTCCATTCATTCCAAAGCAAACTTGTTTCCCTAATACAAATGGAGGACAATGCCATTTATTTGGTTTTTATTGACTGATTATACAGACAAGGGAAGAATGATGCCGAAAAGCTTCTAATACCATCGTCACTCATCAGATACTGAAGCATCTGCAACCGCATCATCATTATGTCAGTTCTCTCAGCTCTTTTCAAAGGATCAAGGAGTGGTGATGGATTGAAAAACAAAAAAAGAACGAACCTGCTTCATTCCAAATGTTGTAAGTTTCCAAATGTTGACATCATATTACAACACAACCTTTCCCTGGTGATTGAGAAATGCACTGGGAAACATCCTATTTCAAAGCCTGGGCTTCATGACAAACTAACTATGCATCAATAGTGCGTCAAGCTGCTAGCTCTCCTGGCAACTCAAACATCACGAGCCTCGATTTTGCGAGAAAGAATGTCGGAAAACTAGCAGCTTTCCTTAACATATGCTGCGTGAAATATCTTTAGCAGCCCAGACATTTTTCACACATTTCAATTTGGACTTCAATTTATGTCCTACCCAGATCAGCACGGCCAACTTCCTGATTTCTGTTTAACTTTGGTTACATAATTCTCTTTTATTTCATTATTCAAGACGCTGATTTGATCTGAACAGCCCACTAACCTATCTGCCATTAACTACACTTTGCAATCAGCGACTTTTATTATTAATGGAATTTTAATTTAATGACGTTCTAATAACGGAATCTGTAATTGGCGTCATTGGTAATGAAAGATAAAGTTGATCCTGTGTATTACAACTTCCGACCATATTCAATTATTAAAAATAAAAGTTACTCATCCACAATAGCATGTTGTTGGGGTAAGGGGCATTGGGGAGAGGGGAGTATTTTAATATTCTGGAGGGGACCCTTAAGACTGAGGTTGTCACAGGGACACTACGCTTAGTCCCCTTTAGCAGTGACTGTCTCATGGTGCGAAAAGGGGACTGAAAGGAGACCCTGCAGGAGGGAACTGTGGGGAGGGGACCCCATGGCTGGGAGAGGGTAAAGAAGGGAAAGAAGACCCCATGGACCGGGGTCGGGTGCGAAAGGGGATAAGTGACCCAGTGGAGGAGGGGGAGGGGCGGGGATCTAGGGGAGGGAGGAGGAGGAGGAGGAGGAAGAGAAAAGGGGGCGGGGACTCAATGGAGGAGGGGAGGGGGCGGAGACCCCGTGGAAGACGGTGAGGAGGAGGGGGCGGGGACCCTGTGAGGGTGGGGGGAGGGGACGCAGGGGGTGGAAGGGACCCAGTGGCTGGGAGGACTCACCTTCCGAACCCTGATCACAAGCCGCCACGCAGCGGGCGCCCGGAGCTGCGAGCTGGAGGTGACTGGCCGGGGGCGGGGACCTCTTTCCCCGGCACCGACAGCTCAGCGGCCGCAGGCTCGCCCTCGGCCGATCGGCTCGGCGTCCTGTCACTGGGAGGGGGGGCGGAGACAGGGGAGGGGCGGGACTGGGCAAGGAGCCGTTTTTGTTCCCACGGCCGGAAGGAAACGTCGGGCGACTAGAGAGAGCTCGCTGGTCCTCCGCAAGGCCTAGAGCGGCTCTGGGCCAGGCCGGGGCTTGGATTGGGCGGATCTCACGGTGGGGGTGGGAATCGAAGCGTTACTTCCGGGCCGGGGGGGGGGGTCCGGCTTCACCGATGAGGAGGGGTTTCCGGGTCCGGACCCTACGGGTTCAGTTAGTGGCCGGTACCTCCTTGTCCCCTGTCTGCGGGGCCTCGGAGCGGAGTCTGAGCCCCAGCCCCGCCGCCTCTCGGGTCCGCTCCCCTTTCCCACAGTCTCCAGGCGTGAGGTTAGAGGTGAGCGCTCTTCCTCTTATCCTAGTGAAGGAATGTGACTGGACAGGGAGGGTGGCCCCACATCGGAGGGCCTTGAATGCCAGGTGTCATTCCTCGAGTCTGGCCCTTACGTTGTACTCATAGGAGCCCCCGTCCAACTTTATCGTTGACCAAGTGCTGCCCTTTCAACACACCCATGAGGTCGTCCGTAAAGACGCACAAGAGGCAGGGCATGCGAGCCTGGAGATGGGTAAAGGGAGATGGATTAGCTCTGGTCAGAAATAGTGACATCTCCAGAGAGGAGAAAGAAAGGGGGAGGATGCCGAGAAGCAGAAGAGGGCAGTTGATTTGAAGTTGGAGGTCATTGATCTGTCTGACTCGGGGCTGAGGTTGGGTTTGGGGTACTTGAGAGAGGAAAAGGTTTCAGATAGGAGGATTACAGAGGCGCAATGAAACCGCAGCTGAGATTATGACCTGTAAATGTACAGTAGCTGAATCAGTGGAATTGTGTGACTTCCTCCAGCAGTGTCTGGTGCCCTTGGAGCAAGAACAGAGAAATTTGCACATAACACGATGTCTGTAGCTACTGTCCATAGCATAGTAAACTTTTCCTAAATGCTTATTGAGTGAGTAAGTGAAATCGGATGATGGGAATTACGTAGAGTTGGGGATTAGGTTCAGAACTGTGGAGGTTCATTTAGGGTGGAAAATTCTAAAACGGTGGCTAGTGAATCACTAAGGCTGCAGTCAAGGCTGGATTTGGAGTTAAGTGAAGTGAGAGAGATAAAAAGATTGTAAAGAGACTAAAGATCACAATGAGATGAAGAATAGGGTTATTGTGAGTAAGAGAGATGAAGAGATGGAAGAATTAGAGGTTATGACTTGAGAATAGAATTTCAAAGTCTAAGGTCTTAGAGGTGCAGTTCTGAGGTAACTCTCTAGGGTATGATTATGCCAGCATATGGCTGCATAAGGGTGAAGAAGAAATTTAGAGCCCCATAGGTAAAGGAATTATGTGTTTATGGTATTAGAGGAGTTGTTAAAATGCATACTGAGGTTTCCAGGGATAAAAACTAGGATTAGAATAAAGAGGAATGCTATAAGCCAGTTTAAAGTCATTAAGGAAGTTGGAAGAGTGAATAGAGTGACTGTAGAGCAGTGGTATCAAATTCAAAAAAGAAAGAGGTCCCTACTGCCCACATATTGACTTAGAAAACCACAAATTAACATTATCTACATCATATTGTTTTTATTTTGTTAATTATTTCCCAATTACATTTTAATCTGGTCAGAGCCTTGGCTACAACCTCTGTGGAAATGATGGTCACAAGGACAGAAAGAGCATAATATATAACCAGATTGCATGGACTTTAAGGGAGGAAAAGTTATTGAAGGATACTAGGAATATAGTCCTGAAACCCCAAACAAAAGATGCTCAGGACTTCCCTCAACCTTCCTAATATGATGCTCTTCTCATCCTCTCTGTCCCCTGAAGACCCAGGGGCTAGGACTGAGCCCTGGATACCTAGGACAAACCACCAGAGATCCTGTTGTCTTTCCCACAAGCAGGATTTTAAATGTTACAACCTGGTGTGAGCGCCCAGCAATAGTGAAGAGAAGAACTGTGGGTCCTGGAAATGTGGACACAAAGGAAGCTTCTGAAGGGAGAGGGCATGAGAAGGTGACTGCTCAGGTGAGTGAGAGAGAACTTACATTCATTCATTGCATACAAATTTACTGTACCTCGTTGTCAGATCTCTTTTCAAATGAAATAAAAGGCTATTTTTATTGTTTTAGAACTACTTAGATCCTTTCAACACCAAGAAGTTGGATATTAACAGTGTGACTACTGAGAACAAATCATCTGATTCTGTTTAGCTACTTCCTCACTGGATTGAGTTTCCCTTCCTTACCTGCCTGAGCAGAAGAACAGGGGTCCTTTGACATTTTTTCCCTCTCTGTACAGTTGACTTCAGGGTTTTCATCTTGTTCAATTTCCTTCCTCTGTGTCACATTTTTTAAGGTACCATTTCTTTTTTTTTCCATGTAATTTATTCTTCTTTCCAATTACGTATAAAAAAATTTTCACATTTGTTTTTAAAATTTTTAACTTCCTAATTCTCCCCCCTCCTTCCACTTCCCTCTTATTAAGAAATCAAGCGATATGATATAGGTGATACATGTGCAATCATGCAAAACATATCTGGATATTAGTCATGTTTTGAAAGAAAACATAGATCAAAAAAACCCAAGAAAAATAAAGTTAAAAAAAAAGTATGCTTCTATCTGCATTCAGACTTAAGGTACCATTTCTGTGTAGTCTCTGATATTATAATTCCTATTTTGGTTGTTGTCTCATTTGAATGTGAATTTAATTCTTTGTGAATATGAATACCTAAGGTTCACCCCAGATGTATACCAATTCAGTCTTTTGGACTGGTGAGAGTGGGGAGAGGAAAGCAAAGGATCCTCAGTTGCCAGTACCTATTTCCAGAGCAAAGGCAAGCTGAGTATAGGGGACACTAGGATGAAAATATGCACAAAAAAGGTAGAAAGGGTATTCTTTGGGAATACCCTTTGTAAATACTTTGGAAGCCTCATCTGCTCATTTAAGAAAAAAAAAAGGACACATAGTTACCAGTAGGGTCAGACAAGAAGGGTAAACCTTTTATATAGTTGACTTAATAAATGTTTTTTCTTTTCCTCTTACCGACTGCTTAATTTTCACGTTCCCCAATATTCTGTCCTTAACTGTCTTTTCTCCTCTCTCTGCCTTTACTTCCATCTTCTGGTCATGTCTTGAAAATGTTGGTTGATGAGTTTCTTTTGCATTCTCATCAATCTTTTTTTTTGTTTTGTTTTGTTTTTGTTTTTAGGCAGTTGGGGTTAAGTGACTTGCCCAGGGTCACACAGCTAGTAAGTGTCAAGTGTTTGGTCTGAGGCCGGATTTGAACTCAGGTCCTCCTGACTCCAGATCTGGTGCTGTATCCACTACACCACCTAGCTGCCCCTCTCATCAATCTTTTTAAAAGGCTGATTCATTTCCTCTGCTCAGAATTGTTTGTGTCTTTGTATGCTCAATGTTTCGTTCTTGAAATCCTCTTCCCATCCCTCCTAGGCTTACTTCCCTGATAAATTTTAGTCCACAGAATCCTACTCATACTTTTTTTTTAATTCTTTGGATTCTGTCCTCCCTAAAAACTCTAGGTTGCATGTCAGACATTCCCAGCTTCCTCACTCACATATCATCTAAAAGAGAAATAGTTACTTCCCTCAACATTCCTATTATTTTCTTTTTTTTTTGCAAGGCAATCAGGGTTAAGTGACTTGTCCAGGATCACACATCCTATCCTATCATGTGTCTGAGGCTGGATTTGAACTCAGGTCCTCCTGACTCCAGGACTGGTGCTTTATCCACTGCGCCACCTAGTTGCCCCAACATTCATATCATTTTCAACTCAACATCTAGTTCCTGCTCATTGGTGAGAATCAGATCCCAAATGGAATTTCACTGTATTAGTTCTTTCACCTTTTGAAGAATGAAATTATCACTAAGGCAAGCCAAGCAATGATTAACTTCTCTGCTTTTGCTGCAGGAACCTGGATAATTGAACTCTCCCATCACTGTTGTGAGAGGCTTAATAGAAAGAGGGCTGGACTGAGAGTTGGGGAGATCAGGGCTCAAGTCCCACCTTGGACAACTTTAAAGTCAATTCATGGAACACTTTGCCAGAATCAATGTATGGGTCTGACCTGTATGTTGACTCATCTATTTAACTGCAAAAGAGTTACCTGTCCTTAATTGCTAGTCTTGGAGGTGAACAGAGCTTAAGGCTAGAGCTTTCATAGTTTTTTATCCCTTCTCTCTGCTCCCTCATTGCCCAAATAACCATAGTACTACTATCTTTCATTTCTGAAGTACATTAAGGTGTACAAAGTCAGATTTTCTTCACAACAGCCTTAGGGGACAGGCAGTACAAGTGATGTCATTCTACTTTATGAAGGAGAGACTGAGACTCCTGAAGCTACCTGTTCCGTTTTGGAGAGCTCTTAATTGTTAGGACATCAAGCCTAAATCAGCCCCTTTGAAACTCTAGCCATGACTCCTAGTTCTGCACTCAGGGGCTAAGCAGAACAAATCTAATCCAGTCTTTTCAATATTTAGGATCATATGATAGCTTCTTAGTCATTTCTTCTCCAGGTTAAACATCACCAGTTTCCTTCAATGAATCCTTACATGGTACAGCCACAAGACCCTTATCTGACTTAATCAGGTGCATCCTGGTTGTTTTTCTCTGTTCATAACTTGAAATAGGTGAACTTGTTTTTTTCACTGTGTTAATCACTGCATTTCAGTATAATTGGCTTCCTTTTTAATCCTATATATTTTATTTTATGCATTTAAAAACATTATTCCAAAAATGTAGACTTCTTCAGACTGACTACCAAAGGTGTCTATGACACAAAATAGGTGAAGATCCTCTACAGGTCCTCCTCAGATAAGGTGAACTAGATATCCTAATGAAAGGAAGCAAATTTAGCCTTTTCATTTTCACTTGTATTTGTCAGATGAGACCTATGGCAGGAATATGGGTTTGAAAAAGAGTATACTTTATTCAGAAGAAACAGGATCGATAAAAGCCAAGGGGTAGGGGAGGTAGAGACAAAGTTAGTTTGTATATTCGGGAAATACAGTTATAGGAACAAGATCCAGGAACTAAAGGAGAGAAACAGGCAGGGAGCATTCGAGTGATAATCGAGAGACAGAAAAAGCAACACCATCCTATGTTATAGACTACCAAGACAAAAAAGAAGAAATTAATAAGTCTCAGGAAAGAGCTGGCTAGTTTGGCATGAAGGGATTGAGTAGTGATGGGGGTTGGGGGTGCGGAGAGACAGTAGAGTAATGGAGCTTCAATGATCCTAACATTTGCTAGAGTTCTCTCTTTTTGCAAAGCAGAGCAGCTGGCTTCCTTAAAGGTTTGCCTGAGTGATAATTTCATCCTTTCAAAGGCGGAAGAAACAATGCAAGGAATTTAGTTTCTGGACCCAGTTCTTATCAACGAAAAGGAATTGGTTATTGGGGTAGAAATGACAGGAACTTTGGGAGGAAATAACCGTTCCATTTGTGATAGAGAAGAAGAAAGCAAGCTGGTAATAGGCTAACCTGCAGGATAGATTTGGGGACAGCAGATTTAGGACAGTCATGCTATGAGGCATGGGAAGCTCTCAAGAAGAAAATTCTGAAAATGCAAAAAGATTTTGTGTCAGCGTCAGTATTCTGCATCAGGAGCAATAGATCACTCTGAGATGGCATTTAAACAAATAATCCTTTTTACTAAAATTGTATTTGAATACCCACTGGGAGAAACATTTCTCAGAATGGCTCAAAAGCAGTCCAGAGGATAAAAACAGCTAATAGCCCCAGGCTAGAAGTAGAAAGGCAACTCTCCAAGGTCTCAGGATCTAAAAAGCTCTTGTCTGGAGCTCCAAGAGCTGATAGCTGGGCCCTCATTCAGTGTTCCTGGGAAGCTAGAGTTGCCCCTACTGTCTAGGTCTGTACCACCAGACCAGGGTTATGGGAGGTAAGAGGTTAACTCACACCTCCACCAATATCCTGGTAACCAGAGTGGGTAGGCAGGAACTTAAAGCAACTTAGGTTTGCTTTGTTAATTTTTTTAACTTTGCTTTTTTTTTGGTGTCTTTTGTTTCCACATCTATAGATGTGTATATGCCCCCTCCCCCCATATGAGCCTTCCCTTAAAAAAAAAAAAAAGACAACAACAAATTAATTTAATTTTTCTAAAGACATATACAGAAAGTAAAAGCAAGGCCAGATGATGAAGGATGAATATAAACCCCTGGCATGATCCTATAAAAATTGAGTTAGGAGATCTGACTCTTAGAAATTGCCGACGCTAGCATGTGATACTAAGAACAACAAAAGCATTTTTTTGTTTTATGTTTTGTTTTGAGCTCTGTCATGTAGAGGAACAGAGAGAATTACAGAAGTAATAGAACTGTTGTTCACAATGGATAGAAAAGTAACTGATGATAGAACTAGCTCATGCTTAATTCTGTTTTCTCTGCCAAGAAGAAAGATTTGTGTAAAATGAAAAAATCAGAATAACATGGATAATAGGGATTTGAAATCCAAGATAAGTAGAAAGAGAATAGTTATTTGCACTCGTTTCAGGTCACCAGGACCAGACAAACTATATTCCAGATACTAACAGAATCGGTAGATGTGGTAACAGAACTGCTATCAGTGATATTCTCAGAAAGATAATGGAGAATAGGAGAGGTGCTGAGCTAATAAAGGACAGATTTTGCCCTGATTTTTTTTTATTTTAAAGCTGAAACATATAGAATCTGCACACTATAAACCCATAAGCATCTTTTCAATTTCCTGACAAAATCCTGGAATGAGTTATTAACAAGGATGGCTAGAAAATATCGAGTAAAGGAAGCATCCTCCATCAAGAACAGCTAATCTCATTTCATTTTCTTACAAAAGAAAAGTAGTAGATCAGGGCAATGATACAAATCATGTCAACAAGCATACCATGTCCCAGACACCATGCTCAGCGGTGGGGGTATAAAGAAGGGTAAAAGTCTCTGTCTTCAAGAACTTACAATCTAAAAGAGGAGACAACATGCAAACAACTATGTACAAACAAGATATGTACAGGATAAACTGGAGATAATCTCTCAGAAAATGTGAACATTAAAGGAGACTGGAAAAGACTTACTGCAGAAGGTGAAATTTTAGCTGAAACTTGGTGAGGAGGGGGAGAACATTTCAAACAAAGTTCCAGCCAATGAAAAGACAGTTAGGAGATGGAGTGTCTTGTGGGAGGAACAGCAAGGTCAGTATCACTGTGGAGGGGAATCAGGTATAAGACAACTAGAAAGGAAGGGGCCAGGTTCTGAAGGTCTTTTAAACACCAACAGATGGTTTTATATTTGATCCTGGAAGCAATAAGGAGCCTCTGAAGTTTATTGAATAGTCTTATGGTCATACCTACTCTTTAGGAAGACTACTTTGACAGCCAAATGAAGAATGGACTTGAGTGAGGAGAGATTTGGGGCAGGCAGATCAGCCAGTAGGTTATTACAGTAGTTCAGGCATGAGATGATGAAGGCTTGCACTAAGGCGGTGGCAGTGTCATAGGGGAAAAGAAGATATATTTGAGAGATGCTGCAAAGGTAAAATTGACAGTCCTTGGCAACAGATTGGATGTCAGTGGTGAAAGAGTAGGGAGTCAAGGAGGACACCTAAGTTGAGAGACTGGGTGACTTGGAGGATGGCAGTTGCCTGGGCAGTAATAGGGAAGTATGCAGGAGGGGAGATAGAGTTTCCTATAATTTATTTGACAAAAGGTTTGGGGCTGTTTTGTGGGAAAGATGTAGAAATTTCACTGGACAATAATAGTTAGATGGATTTAGACCTATAACTAAATCCCAATGGTAATTATTAACAGTTATTCAGTATCATCTAGGGAGGAGCTCTCAGTGGAGAGTCCCAAGTTCTGAGCTTGGCCCCTAGTATTTAACATTTTTCATCAGTGACTTGAATAAAAGCATAAATGGCACTACTTCCCAGATTTGCAAAATTTTACAAAACTTGGAGATTTAATTAATGTATTGGATGACAGGATCCAAAAAGATCCAGAAATGCTAGAAAGTAGGCCTGGTTCTTAGATGGATTTTAATCAATATAAACATAAAGTCTTATACTTGGATTCAGAAACTTCCTTCATAAATATAAGATCAGGTAGGTGTGACTAGACAATAATTTGACTGGAAAAGATCTATAGACTTTAGAGTATTGCAAACTTAATATTAATGAATAGTATGATATAAGTGAATCAATGGATCTGTGATTTCCTCTTTAGATTGTATTTCCTATGTGAGAACTTCTGGTTTGTAACATATCTACCCTGACCCTAAGGTCACACAGCTAGTTTATGTCAGCAGCAGAAGTTGAACCCAGTCTTGAACTTCATGTCCAGTACTTTATTCACTGCCTCAGGATATCTCTAATTGAAGAAAACTCAAAGGGAAAAAACAAGTCTTTTCTACTGTACGTGTAAATCACCCAGAAATTGATTGTTCACTGGTCCACATGGGAAAACAGGTAATTAGAAAAAAATCACAGATTTAGACAGTCAGGTTAGTGGGAAATAAAAATAAAAAGGTATAGACCCACATGAAAGCTGAATAGTATTAAATAATCAAATAAGTAATTAAAGAAACAGTAGTGAGTTACCTCAAATCATTATCAAATGATAATACACAGATACTACATTTCAAAATTTGTGGGATGCATCCAAAGCAGTACACAGACACAGATCTTTAATACTGAATGGCTATAATGTTAAATAGCCTCATGACCACTCACTCTCTTTGAGTCTTTTTGATAGATCTGCATCCATTTTATGCCCACTAATTTTGTCCCTCAGAACTCTGTCCTGGGTCCTCTCTTTTTTCTTTATACTATCATGCTTAGTGGTTTTATCAGCTATTGTAGATTCAATTACTACATCTATGCAAATGATTCCTAATTCCAACCCTAATCTCTCTCCTGAATTCCTGTCTTCCACCATCTATCTTTTGGACATCTCAAATGTCCTATAGGCATCTCATGCTCAGCATGTCCAAAACAGAGCATAGTATCTTTTCCCCAAAACTTGCCCTTTTTCCAACTTTCTTATTACTGTTGATGGTATTACCATCCTTCCAGTCATCCAGACTCACTACCTTGGTGTTATCTTCAACTCCTTACTTATACTTACCCTACATATCCAGTCTCTATGTGCCATATTTTTTCATCTCTACCTTTGTATCATTTCTCACATGTGTATCCTCTTCATTCATATAGCCACTACTCTAGTTTGGAATCTCTTCACCTCTCACTTGGACTATGGCAAGTGCTTTCTGGTTGGTCTCTTCCCAATCTAGTCTATTTTTTACTCAGCTGTCAAAGTGGTTTTCCTGATGGTCAGGTCTGAACAGGTCACACACACAAGCCACCCCCACTTCCATTTAATAAACTCCAATGACTCTCTTTTACTTCCAGGATCAAATATAAAATCATCTGGCACTTAAAACCCTTTGCAACCTGGCCCCTTTCTACCTTACACCTTACTCCTTTCCACAAATTCTGCAATTCAGCCAGTCAGTCAGTAAGTTTTTATATATGCCAGGCACTATGCTAAATGCTGGGATACAAAGAAAGGCAAAAGAAATTCCCTTCCCTTTAAGAGTTCACAATCTAATGAGAGAGAAAGTATGCTATAGGTATTTTAGTTAGGGCTTGAAAGAAGCCAGGAGGTAAAGGTGAGGAGGGAGAGCATTCTAGGCATGACAATTGGCCCATGTCCTGGAGCCTGGAGTCTTGTTGAAGAACAGCAAGGAAGCCAGTGTCACTGGATTGAAGAGTATGGATGGGGAGGAGTTATATAAGGTGTAAGAAGACTGGAAAGGGCAAGGTGGGGTTGGAGTCTAAGTTACGAAGGGCTTTGAACACCAAACAAAAGATTTTGTCTAGAGGATCCTGTAAGTGAGTCCAGGGCTGTGGTGTGACATGACATGGTCAAACCTACCCTTTATGAAAATCACTTTAGTAGCTGAATGGAGGAGGGATTGGAAAGGAAAGAGACTTGAGGCAGGCACACCCATCAGCAGGCTATTGTGTTCAGATGTTGTTCAATTGTGTCTGACTCTTCGTGACCCCATTTGGAGTTTTCTTGGCAAAGGTACTGGAGTGATTTGCCATTTCCCTTTCCACAGATGAGGAAACTGAGGCAAACAGGGTTAAGTGACTTGCCCAGGGTCACATAGCTAGTAAGTGTCTTGAAGCTAGATTTGAACTCAAGGAGAGTTCTTGTCTCCAAGTGCAGTATTCTATCCACTATGCCACATAGCTGCCCAGCAGGCTATTGCAGTGGTCCAAGTATGAGGTGATGAGGGCCTGCACTAGAGGGATGGCTGTGTCAGAGGAGAGAAGGAAGCATATTTGAGAGATGCTGCAAAGGTGAAATTGACAGGCCTTGATAGCAGCTTGCATGTGGGAAACAGGAGTGAAACATAGTCAGGAGTTGGGGGTGACACTTGGGTTGTGAGCCTGGGGCATTGGGTGGTGGTGTACTGAACAGTAGTAGGGATGTTGGGAAGGAGGAGGGTTGTGCTGTCCTTCACATGAAATTCCATGTCTCACTTAACTTTATCATATGTGAAGGGCAGGACATTAAGGACCGCACCCCAGAGAAAGAATGCATATTCAGGGTGGACAGAGAGCACTTCAGTTTGACTGGACCATAAGAGATATGAAACAGTGTAATCTAAGAAGGCTGGAAAGGTAGAGTGGCATCAATTTATGTAGGGCCTTGACTGCCTTGCAAAGAAATTTGAACTTTATTTGGCAAGCAGTAGGGAGCCACTAAAGATTTTTGAGCAGAGGAGTGACATGTCCAAGTCTACACATAAGTAAAATTATTCTAGCAGTATTATAAAGGATTGATTGGACCTGGAAGGATCTGTTTAATAGTCTAGGGGCAAGTGATAATGAAGGCCTATACTCAAGTGGTGGCAGAGGGATGAGATGAGATGAGGTGAATGCAGGGGATCAAATCAGTATTTATTAAGGGCCTCCCATGTAGAATAGGTCCAAAATGGACTTGAACTTCTCACTCTCACCAAACTAGTATACTTATTTTCCTCCAAACATTCCTTATGTATTCCCCCTAACTCTGTATCTTAGATCCAGTTCAGGGTGCTTACAATTAGGCAGACCCACAGTAGGCATGTGTAGTATGTCAGACTCAGAATTGGTGCATAGTCTATCACAGTTAGAATGCTTAGTTAAAACTGACAATCATCAAGTAAAACTGACAGCTGTCAAGTCAATAACTCACCTTGTAACCTCTTGAGGGGAGGACTGGGGAATTGTAAAACAGAACTCCTCTCTACCTCTCTCCTTTTTCTCCCTTCAGTGAGAGTTCCTGCTGAACACCTAGAGGAGAGCTGAGGTCAGATGATGGCATCCAAGTTTATGCCAGCTGAGCCAAAGGTGAGCTCTTTCTCTCCAGCAACCCATCACTGCTGCATCTCAGACCTCATCTGAGCAAGGGAGTTCCCCTGTCCCTATAATTAACATACATGCAAACACCACTTTTACTCAGGGTTTCACATACACTTCCCTATGATTAATATACATTCAAGCAAATATTTATTCATATTATATCACACTTCTTTCCATAATTAACATGTATGTAGATACTTATTCACCTATACATATATGTACCATTGCCTATAATCAGCACACATGCAGAAGCACGTATACATACCTCCTCACTGCCTGCCTGTACTACTTCTTTTTAATACCTTTTTTCCAATAACATGTAAAAACAATTTTTAATATTGGTTTTTTAATAGTATTTTATTTTTTTCCAATTACATGTAAAGATACTTTTTAACACTCATTTTTTATAAGATTTTGAGTTCCAAATTTTCCTCCCTCCCCAAGACAGCAAGCAGTCTGTTATAGGTTATATATGTGCAATCATGTTAAACATATTTCCACATTAGTCATTGACATTGGTTTTTAAATTGAGTTCCAAATTCTCTCCCTCCTTTCTTCCTCCCCTTCTTTCTTGAGAAGGCAAGCAATTTAATATACGTTATAGATGTGTAGTCATGCAAAACATATTTCTATATTAGCCATGTTGTGAAAGAAAACACAAACCAAAAAAGAACACAAGAAAAACAAAGTTAAAAAAAGTTCTTTTCCTCATAATTCTTTTGGAATTATGTTGGATTATTGTATTGCTAAGAAAATTAAGTCATTCACAGTTCATCATTATACAATATTGCCATTGCTGTGTACAATGTTCTACTGGTTCTGCTCGCTTCACTTTGCATCAGTTCATGTAAGTTTTTCCAGGTTTTTCTGAGAGCATCCTGCTCGTCATTTCTCATACTACAATAGTATTCCAACACAATCATATACCACAACTTGTTCAACTATTTCCCAATTGATGGGTATCCCCTTAATTTCCAATTCTTTGCCACTGCCTGTACTATTTCAATAGTCCTTTCTCATCATACTTTCATAATCACATACACACTGCTACTGAACCTACATGCCATCAGATGTTCCTCTTGCTTAAGGTTCTCCACCTGTCATTAGTGCTAAACCTTGGAAACTTCTCTTGGGCTGCAGCAGGAATCTCTTATTTCAGGCCCTTGTGACATTCGTGGATGTAGCTGTGAATCTCACCCAGGAGGAGTGGCATCTTTTGGGCCCTGATCAGAGGAATCTCTACAGGGATGTGATGCTGGAGAATTATGGCAACATTGTTTCACTGGGTAAGGCTTTCCTAGGACTCAGATCTGTCTTTTCTACAAATCGAAATAGCTTGAAAAAAAAAATTCATGAGGTTCTAACTGTAAAATTAATTCTTCTGTCTTTTAAAATTATCAGACAGATACTTTAAAATGAGGAAACAATTTCACTTTCTTTACAATTATAAATACAATTTTATATGTAAAAATCTTACTCCAATTTTGAGACCTTATTACTAAAACATACTCAAAGTCTAAATTTCCATACTAGATACATTTGGAAGCCAGTCATATACATATGTATATAGTTCTTAAAGAAAACAGTCTTATCTTGTTACTTTCTCAAATTTTACTATTCCAATTAATAGGAAACTTTTCCATTATATCTTTGTCTTATTACTTTGTCTAACTTCCCCCTTTAAGAGGATGTCATTCCTATATTATAATTTGACCACAAATACAGATTAAAATTATAAGATTTTTTCATACTTTCATACTTCACAATTCAGAGATGTTCCAGCATCAGTCTATTAATTAGTAGATTTAATATTGTAATTACAAAACTTCTACTGCTCACTTGCCCAGATTATAGAAATTTGCTATGAAAGGAAAAGGAGGGCTATAGTTATAACAGTGTCAAGGTTTGTCCTTTCAAGAGCACAGATTGACTTGACATATACCATGGGGGGGGGGGATTCCCTTAGCTCTGATTCGATTCCAGACATCAGTCATATCTGACAGCCAGTCATGTAGTCACAGCATATCAAAGGCCAGGATCAGGATTAATCAGATGAAGAAATTTCCTGTTCTGAAAGGAAATGGTACAATGGGACAACTAAGTCAATAGGATCCTTAGGCCATACCAAGGTCATCCCCTCAACTTTTCCCAGGGACAGACAGCTGAACTGCACCTTATGCCATTTTCTGCTATTGGTTTCATGACAATTCAGACAACCATTCCTGTAGTCAAAACTCAAAACAATAGTAAACTATGGTCCCAAGAGTTTTTGTCTCAGATAGCAAAATTTCACTAACAACATCTTAAGGCTTAAAAACTATTAATTTCTCATGGTTCCCTAATAGTTACATTTCATTTATCTTTTACTTATAAATTAAAACTAACCACATTCTGGAGTTTCAGACATACAGAAAATACCTGATAGTTGACTCATATTAATATATTGAAGTTACATCTTTAAACCACCCTATATATTTCATAATTTTTATAAGTGATTGCCAAAAATTTTCAAATGAAAACCGTTAATTAGTAAACTTATTATTAGTATTATCTGTTTTAAAACAAAATAGACCCCATTAAATATTTAACAGTCTGGAGAATTCATTTGAGTTTCTAGTCCAGGCTGAGAGATACAGTATTTCTGTTCCTCATACCAAGAAACACGCCTGATGGATATAGTAGAAGTGGGTAGTTTCCTTGAGCTTTTCCTTAATCTGCACCTTCTCCCTTCTCTAAACTTCTTGTAAGAAACTCTACCCTGCCCTTGGCCCAGGACGCTTACCAGAGTCTGATGTGGACATCCCCAGAGGTGTAAATTTCCTGTCCAGCTAGCATGGAGAGGACACATAAGCTAATTGTTCTTTTGGGCTCACATCAGCAATATACTTACACCCCATGAATTCTCAGAGGGACAGATTCTTAAGATCCTTCCAAAGGGTGCTCAAGTTCTTGTCATAATCTCCACGTACACTGCCTTTGACATCTTAGCTAGCCTCTGTATACCCAGAGGCTGAGAATGAATTTGGGAAAGGTCTGTGTATGCAGGACAATCCACCAGGTCCAGTTTACTTCTCCATGAGCAGGATTTCAAGTGACTAAGCCTGATGTGATATCTCAACTGGAACGAGGGGAAGAGCCATGGGTCCTGGACACACAAGGAGCTGAAGAGAAAAAAGTCCTAAGAGGTGACTGCTTAGGTGAGTGAGAACCTTTCTTTCATTCAGTCATTGAACACATATTTACCACATGTCTTCTATATGCTCAACAATGTGCTGTACATAGTTATTGGATATACAGGACATTAAATGGCAGATTGCCTTGGCAAAAAGATGTAGTCCATAAATCCCTGCACGATAGAAAGCATGCTCTTTGTGGGTAAAATCCACAACAGGACTGTCATCCAATCCCTGCTCATTTACACTTCTAAGATAATCTCATATTTTTGGGAACCCTTTACTTGCTATGTCATCCCAGGCATAAAAAGTTTAACAGCATCATTGTTATTCCCTTACCCTCTTCTCCTCATGACCCTCCAGGGTCAGGAATATCCTAGAAGAAACATGGATTTGTGGATTTGTCTAAGTACTTTGAGCCTGTATGGCTCTGGCTAGCAGCTGCAAGGAAAGAATTTGCATAGTTGGTGATGTAGGCCTGAAGTATTAAAACTGTATGTAGAGTTAAGAGTTATCTGCATAGAGATAATTGAACCTATAGGAATATAAGAGGGGAAAGAAGGAGAGGGGAAGAGAGAGAGAGACAGAGAGAGAGACAGAGAGAACGAGAACAAATTAATCCTTTGATATTCATTTTAAAGAAATTAATGAAGATCCAACAAAGATGCTCAGAAAGTATTAGGAAATACAAGAGAGAATGGTATTACAGAAATTGAGGGAGGAAGTGGTATACAGAGGGAAAGGGGATGGTCAGTCAACAGTTTCAGAAACCACAGTTAGTAGATAAGGGACATAAATAGTCCTGCCATACTCTCTACAGTAGTCAGACTACTTCTGGAATATTGTGTTCAGTCATAAACACCACATTTTAGGAAGGACATAGACAAACTGGAGTATATCCTCTTTGAAAGGAGTGACTAGGATGAAGAGAAGACTAAAGATATACCTTTTGAGGATCAGTTGAAGGAACTAGGAGATATTTTTCTTGGAAAAGAGAAGACTTGGTGGAGAGATAATAGTCTTCAAGTATTTGAAGGGGTTATATAGAAGAAATTAGACTTGTTTTGTTTAATCCCAGAGAACAGTATTAGGAATAATGTGTGGAAGCTGTAAAGAGACCCACTGAGGCTTGGTGTGAGAAAACCTTTCTAATGATTAGAGCTCTCCAAAAGTATAATGGGCTACCCCAGAAGATATGTGGTTGCCCCTCACAGGAGGTTTTCAAGCAGAGGTTTGGATGATAATTTGTTGGGAATGTTGTAGAAGGAATTCTTGTTTGGGGATGGTCTGGACTAGATGGTTTCTAAGGTCCTTTCAGACCTGCAAATTCTATGATCCAAGAAGTTAACACAATTGATTAATTAAATTTAACCCCAGAGAAGAGTAAAAAATGCACCTCCCTCCCTTCATTGCAGAGGCAGTAGAATATTGCATATAACTTTAGTTCAAGGTGACATATTGGTTGGTTTTATTAAGTTGTCCTTCCCCCTTTTTTAAATCTTTGTTACAAGGGAAGGCTTGCAGGGTTGTGATATAAGAACAAAAGTCATCAATATTTTAAAGAACAAAGAATCAGTGGTAACTTTTAAAGAGTAATTTTAGTGGTATGGTCAGTGGCCATATTGAAAGGGCTTAAGAAACAAATGGTGAAGTGGAGGCAGTGAGTATAGACAACATTATTAGTTTGGCAGTGAAAGGGTTATAAAATATAAGGTGATTAACTTGAGAGTGATGGTATGTGAAGAGTTTCTTTTTTGTTTTTAATAAGAATGGGAGAGCTCATTATATTTGTGGGCAAAGGAGTGAGGGAGAAATTGAAGATGAAAGTAAGGGAGTAATTGATGGGGCAAACTCCTGAAGAAGACAGGAGTAATTGAAATCAAGGCTATAGGTAGGCAGAGGTTAGCCAATATAAGGAAAAATTCCACTTCTTCCTTAGATTTTGTGCATAGGAGGTGAGGTAAAGATGGAGTAAGGGAAAAGAAGGGATCTCATACTGTGAATGACCTTCATTTTTATCAATAAAGTGGTAGGCAGAGTCATCTGTTGAGAGGAGGAGGTTCAGGAGGTAGTACTGTAGACTTAAAAAAGGAAAAGGTTTCAAACACCTGCTTTGGGTAACAGAATAGAGATTCAATCAAGGAAAAATATAAAGATTGCCACGTAGCAGAGAAGAGCAGTTGAGATTAAATAACATCAGTCTGCGGTGGGACCCAGTCAGCATGGTTTCATGACATCATTCAGCAGCATGTAATAGCTCAAGAGTAAAAGCAGAAAAAGCAGCTGTTGGAAGTGGCTCAGAGTTGAGGATTAGCACGATGTGAAGGGCAGGACAAGAAATATTAAACTTAGATGAGAATACATAGTGAAACTAATTAACTTACTGGGTCAAGACTGAGCATAAAAGAAATAAGGCCAGGGTAGGGGTGATGGACTGGTAGAACAGGAAGAACTAGAGGGACCTCAAGTCACAATGAAAACAAAGAACAGGTTTTAGAAGAATGAGACAAAAGAGGATGGAATGATAAAGATTATGATAAAGAGAGGAGAGTTTCAGAGTTCAGGTCATGGAAATGACACAACTAGGGGAGATTCTGAGGTCTAAGATGTGACTGCCCTCTGTAGGCAGCTTAGGTGGGGTGAAAGTTACAGATTGTGAGAACTAAGAGAATGATGATCAGAGAGGCCATGAGTCCACCACATACATAGATCAGCTGAAGTAATTGGGGATGTTTAGCCTAGAGAAGAGAAGACTTAAGGGGGCCGTGATAACTGTCTTCAAGTATTTGAAGGGCTTTTGTGTAGAGAAAAGATGAGACTAGTTCTGTTTGACCCCAGAAAGAAGAAGCAGGAGCAATAGGTAGAAATTACAAGGAGGCAAATTTAAATTTGATGTCATTTCTTCCATTCTCCCCTCATGGCCTCCTAAGCTCTATTTGTTCTAGACTGATGTGTCCTATTACCAGGTAAATTTCTGTGATTTGTTTCTGTGAGTAGGAGATGAGGATGACTGATAGAAGTGGGATCGGGGGAAGGGCAGGAAAATTCCATGGTCATTGTCAGCCTCTCAAACTATGGAAGCCTACTGATGCTGAGTGAAGTGAGCAGAACCAAGAGAACGTTGTACACAATAACAGCCACATTGTGTGATGACTAATATTGATAAACTTAACCCTTCCTGGCAATACAAGGATCTAAGACATCTCCAGAGGCCTTGTGATGGAAAATGCTATCCACACCCAAAGAAAGAACTATGGAAGCCAAATTGTTATTTTTTTCTCTTCTGTTGAGTTTTGTTTCTTCTTTCTTATGGTTCTTCCTATTGGTTTTAATTTCTACTTACAACATCACTAATATGAAAATATGTTTAATATGAATGTAAATGTATAGCCTGTATCAGATTATGTGCCGTCTTGGGGAGGAAGGGGGAGAAAAATTTTAAACTCAAAAGCATATGGAAGTGATTATTGATAAATCAAAATAAATTAATAGAAAAAAAAGCAGAAAACAAAAACTATGGAAGCCTAATTCCTCAATTGCCTTTTGGACATTCCCAAATAAGTTATTCTTAACACAGATATACATATACCACTCTAGCTATCATATGGTCTTGACTATAGTTCTAGACCTGTCCTTGTCTGAAGTTTGGTTTTCTATCCTCTTTTAGCCTCATGTCTCTAGTAAATCTTCAGTTCAATTCAATTAATATGTATTTGTTGAGTGTCAGGTAGGTGTGTTTATATTAAAACACTGTGATGAGAATATCTTGTTCACAAAATATCTAAGATAAACCAGCCCCTAGATGGTCTTATTTATACATCTCTAATTCTACCTCTCCATTCTGTGAAGCTAGCTTGAAATTTGTCAGTAGCATGTCCCTCTAGAAGATTGTTATGTAATTGTCTTATTTATGCCCCACAAAATGTCCTTAGTCTTAGAATAAAGCAGATAATATTTATATTTTGTGTTCACTGTTTCAGATTGTGAAACCCAGACTGAGAGTGAGGATTTGTCTCCAAAGCAAGAAATTTCTGACGAGATGAATTGCCAAAATCTGATATTGCATAGACTCAGAGGACTTGTGCCTCAAGGACCCACATTTGGAGAAGCTGTTGAAAATGAGGACACATTAAAGGAAATGTGGAGATCTCCTGCAGGGAGGAACCTAAGGACATTCCTTTCCCAGAAGAGAGGCTTCAGGCCAGTGCCAGTGGTCCATCAAAAACCCCTCATATTGGAAAGAGGTCAGGAATGTAGTGAATTTGGGAAAAGTCTCAGTTTGAGTATGACTCCTGTAAGGTATCAAAGAGTTTATTCAGAATGGAGACCCCAGCAATGTGATGAAATGGGCCAAATATTTGAACAAAATTCAGAACTAATTACATATCAGAAAGAACAAACAGAAGAAAAGCCCTATAAAGCTAAAGTATATTGGAAAGCATTTACTCAGAATTCAAACCTCATTGAACTTCAGAGAATTCATACCAGAGAGGAACCCGGTGGGTATGATGCCAATGAAGAAACTTTCAACCAAACATCAATCCTTATCAAGAAGGAGAAAGTGCTTAATGGGGAAAAACCCTATGAATTTAATGAATGTGGAAATACCTTTAACACACAGTTATCCCTTATTCAAAACCATAAAATCCCCACTTTAGAGAAACCCTATCAGTGTACAGAATGTGGGAAAGCTTTTAGCTTGAAAGGAAACCTTATTCGACACCAGAGACTTCACACTGGAGAGAGACCATTTGAGTGTAATGAATGTGGAAGTGCTTTCAGTTTGAAGGGAAACCTTATTCGACATCAGAGACTTCACACAGGTGAGAAACCATTTGAGTGTACTGAATGTGGGAAAGCCTTCACTCGAAGCACTGCCTTTATTCTTCATCAAAGACTTCACACTGGCGAGAAACCCTATGAGTGTACTGAATGTGGGAAAGCCTTCAGCCAGGAAGGAAACCTTATCCAGCATAAGCGATTTCACACTGGTGAGAAACCCTACCAGTGTAATGAATGTGGAAAAGCCTGTAGTGATCGAACATCCCTTATTCATCATCAGAGAATTCACACTGGAGAGAAACCTTATCTGTGTAATGAATGTGGAAAATGCTTCAGCCAGAGTTCAATCCTAATTAAACATCAGAAAATTCATACAGGGGAAAAGCCCTATGAGTGTAATGAATGTGGAAAGGCCTTCATTCTAAAATCTTGCCTTTTTAGACACCAGAGAATTCACACTGGAGAGAAACCATATCAGTGTAATGAATGTGGAAAAGCCTGTAGTGACCGAACATCCCTTATTCACCACCAGAGAATTCACACTGGAGAAAAACCTTATGTGTGTAATGAATGTGGGAAAGCTTTCAGCCAGAGTTCAAGCCTCATCACACACCAGAGAATTCATACTGGAGAAAAACCTTATGAGTGTAATCAGTGTGGAAAAACTTTTAGTGCATCTTCCAACCTTATTCAGCATCAGAGAATCCACTCTGGAGAGAAACCTTATGAATGCATAAAATGTGAGAAAACTTTTATTTTGAAGTCTTACCTCATTAGACACCAGAGAATTCACTCTGGAGATACCTTGTGAAGGAAGACACCTTTGTGGGACAGCCTTCAGTATACATTCTTCCATTACTGGGCATCAGAAAAGTCACATTGGCAACAAATCATATGGTTGTAAAAGAACCACAAAACTTTTATAATAATAATGATAGTGATCAAGTCTTTATCCAGCACTTCAGTCTTATTCACTATTAGAAAAGTTTTCTGGAGAAGAAAATTCTGTGATGTACTTTTAGTAATAACGTTCACTTTGCAAATTAAGCTCTTATAGAGAAGGTCCTTTTGCTTCTCAAAATATTGCCTATGTGATTTAAGTATGCTGCGACTGGATGGTGTCTGCCACATAAACTGAACTTAGAGGATTCATGTCCTGGTAATCTTGGCTCATGTAAGAGGGTATTTTAACTCCTCAAACACTACATGTGTCATACGTGATTGATGTTTTCTCCCACTCAGTGATTGTATGGTGCTGGCTGACAGATGAATTTGAACTACAGGCTTCATATTCATGAAAGTTTCTCACATTTTTTCAGCATGAATTTCAGCATTATTTTATATTTTGAAAAACCTTGATTAACTAAGGTAAATTAGGTGACTTTAGAGAAACACTATATCTAACTAAACACAGTATTTTAGAGGACATTTGTTAACCAATTTCCAGGCTTCAGTTAGGTAGCTTTCCTCCTTAGGTAGTTCTTTATCTTTTATCCTTGTACATGGCCACAGGGAGAAAGATGTGACACTTTTCAATAACATCATGATGACAGCAGTTTATCCTGTTTAATTTTTTGTTTGTGTGTGTTATTCTGTTGTATTAGATGAAGTTCATTTAACTGCTTTGGCAGTTTGTATTTGAAGGTATCAGTAGTAGTGACAACACATGTCACAGTTACTTAACTTTGTATCAGATGACCCTCCCAGTTCTGCACCTTTGTGAGCCTCATTTATTGTTGTAGGCCAAGAAAGACATTCAGAAAGGAAATTCAATGTCTTCCTCCCTCTCCTTAGCAGTAAGATCTCTTCCTTCATTCCATGAGGCATTTAAGGTACTAGAAAGGTAGAAAAACAGTGTCCTATGATTTAGTTCAGTAATAGGAGATATTTAGGCTGTTTTCTTTTTTTCCTCCTCAGATTCTATCTTCTGTTCCCACCCACCAACAACTAAGTTGTTAGGAAAGCTGATCAATTTGCTTAAAGCCAAGTAGCCTAATAATGAGTTTGCCTAAAACCATATTCTCTATGTTACCATATGTTCCCTCCCAAGTCTTACCTCAGCCTATCAGATCAATGTACCTGAAGCCATTTTGCCTGAAACTAATTAGCCTAATGCCAATTTGCCTAATGATCAATTCACCTAAACCTATTAAGCATTTTGGCACAACTTTGTGTGTGTAACCTGTTTGTGGTTTTAGCCTCCATAAGCATTTTTGCTTCTTTTTTGTCTCACCTCATTTTGAGCACTTTAAAGATTTGTTAACAATGTCTAAGGATACTCCTAACTAAATCAAATATTTATCAAATTTACAGCTTTTCATATAGGACAGGATGGTCTTAACTCCTTATGCATTTTTCCAGACCTTTTGAAGATGTTTACCATTTTATCTACCCTTGTATATTTTACCACTTTATTGATTGAGAAGCAGTGTGGAATAGTAGAAAGAGTAGCAAATGGGCTTGCAATCAGAACTACTTAAATGGGAGCTCTGTTAATAAAATTAGCATGTATTCAATGTTCATTCATGAGGCATCATCTTTCAGACTGAGGGTGAAGAGATATAATGGATACATTAGAGACTTCGAAGGTCAGTTGTTCTAGTCTTTTATCTAAAACAGCAATCACTAAAAAAAATATCAAATGTTCAGTCAACTTTTACTTGAAGATCTCCAGAGGCTGTGAACTTGTCCAAGGAAGTTTGGAAGTTTTGCCTTATGTTGAACTAAAATATTTCTAACTCACACATTGGACCTAGTTCTGTTCCCTGGGGCTAAGCAAAATACATTTAATCTTTCCTGCAAACACCAACCCTTCAGATTCTTGAAGAAAACCATTATGTCCCTTGCCCAGTCTTCACTTTTCCAGGATCACCATCTCTAGTTAGTTGAGTAGATCCTCATATGGTATCCTCACTATCCTAGCTGCCTCTCCTCTGTTTGTGCTCTTAACTCATTAATGCCCTTCCTAAATGTGGTGCCCAGACCTGAACACAACACAGAGTGACTTAGCTGGGGAGATTATGTTCAGGGTTCCAATCCAAAATCTAGTTTTTCCATTTGCCTTGTCACACTATTGACACATATTGACCATGCAATTCACTACAAGCTCTTTTTGTTTTTTCACATGATCTTTGTACTGTCTCCCATATCCTGTACTTGTGCACTTGATTTTTTTAACCTGTGTAGAACTTTAATCAATTTAATTCTGTTACATGTGCTGTATTTTCCCAACCTATAGAAATCTTTTGGATGAGGATTCTGCTACTTGGTGAATTATCTGTCCCTCTCAGCTTTAAAATACAAAGATGATAACTGCTAGCTATACTTTCATTCAAGTCATTGATTAAAATGTTGAATACAAGTTGATGAAGGACAGAGCCCTGTTACATTCCATTAGTGACCTACCTTCAGGGTCATCGGTTAGGTCTGGAAAGGACCTTAGAATTCATCTAACCCAACCCCTTTATTTTACATATGAGACCCAGAGAAGTTAAAGTGATTTGTCAAAGTCACATAGAGGTTGACTGTTTGAGTCCTGTCATTTATCCACTTCTAAACTCATCTAATTTTGTTACTATTCAGTGCTCTCCATATTGATCACAAGACTACCGTGAAAGACATTGGTACATACCTTGTTGAGTTACAGGTTATAATGGTTATGGCATTTCCTTTATCTATCAATCTAATGACCCCTTCCAAAAAAAAGAAAAAAGAAATTGTTAATCCAGCATGTTTTGTCCATAATTAATCCACCCTTGCTTTCTGAGACCCCATGAGCTATCTCTTTGATGATCCATCCTAGAATTCTGCTGGAAATAAATGTTAAGCTCATAGTTTGAAGAATCTCTCTTTTGAAAATTGGCCAATTTTCCCATCTCCATTCTCATAGTACCTCATCCATTCTCCATGATTCCTAAAAGATGATTGGCAGTTAGAGATTAACCACACACACATATTCTTACAAAATGTGATTTGTTAAAACATAATGGCTCAAATTAATTAAGGTCAACTAGAAATGCTCTTATCTCCTTATATCCTGATTTCCAATCCACTGCCAACCATTTTTTTTTCCTGGCCTTCCATTCTGAAGAACATTCTGCATGATTGAGAAAACTGTAATAAAATGGAAGGTGAGTAATTGTGTTCTCCCTTTATGGTCAGTTATCTTCTCATTTGCCTCAAGGAGTACTCATTCCTTTTTCTTCTTGCTTCTAACATAATTTTTTCTTAGTATTTATTTATCACAAGACTTTGTTCTAGGCTTTAACCTTCTTTGACTATAATTTATACTTTTTGTATTTATCCTTAATTACTTGCCTTTGTCATCTGTTTTTCACATCTTTCTAAAATCCAAGCTCAACAATAAGTTTCTTATCCTTCCACATCTTTGGGGGAGAGAAGCAGGTAGGGCAAACTGGTTCTCCCTATCTTGCCCAGTCTGAAAATGCAGTGGCTCCTCAGTGCCCAATCCTACTGCTGATCAGCAAAGGAGCTTGACCTGTTCTGTTTACAACCTGGGCTGGTTAGCCCCTCAGTCAGCCTGATTGTACATCACTCCAGAGGTGTCATCATATTAGAGCTAGACTTAGTGTAGACACCAGATTGACTTTAGTGCAGCAGAAAATTCTCAAGTTCAAGCAGTCTACCAACCTCAGCCTCCTTAAGTAGCAGGAATTACAGTGCAATCACTACACCTGGACACATCAATTTCTTTAGATTTCTATCAAGGATCTTGTCTTGGACCATAGATCTTAATGACTACTCCAGCTTCCTGAGCCATAAGCTCCTCCTTAGAAACTATGCAGGTGATCTTACTCAAGGTTCCTTCCTTCACTAATTTCTAAACTGGTATCAAAAGAATAACTCAACGTAGGAGGCCTCTTAATCATAGTCCCTGAGTCTATGTGGTTCCTTGGGTGTAGAGATTTTAAGTTACCCAGTTCTTAAATACCTTTTTCCCCTCTGCCACTTCTACTGTGTCTAAGTCCCTGATCCGAAATGCCCATTCCTTTTTATTGTTGTCTTATCACAAATTCCAGGTAAGAGTTTACTGTTAGAGTTTAGTCACAAAAGACTTAAGGTGCTTCCACCTTTCTCAGTGGCCTGGCTCCTTCAGCACCTGTCTTACAATCTTTCCTCCCTATTTCCTGCCATCATCGTTCAGAACTTCCATATTTGTCTCAATATCTTATCTAACATCCTTCTGTCCCTTCAAGAAATCATTCCCTCCCTGTCATTGTCACTTATTTTATCACCCACACAGACTTCAACCACTGATAGGCTTCCATCACCACTACTCTAAATCACAGAATGTTAGAGATGAAAGAGATGGACATCAATTTAGATCCAGAGTTCTTAACCTTTTTTTGTGACCTGATCCCCTTTGGCAGTCTGCTGAAGCCTATAGACCCCTTCTCAGGATAATGTTTTTAAGTGAATAAAATGAAATACATAGGATTATAAAGGAAATCAGTGATACAGAAATGCAGTTCTCAACATAGTTAAACAATTTCACAGATCCCCTGAAATCTATTCATGGGCCCTTTCCAAGTCTCTGGATCTCAGATTAAGACCTCCTGCTTTAGAAAGTCCCATCCACAGGGGCAGCTAGGTGGTGCAGTGCTCTCCCTGGAGTCCAGAGAACCTGAGTTCAAATCCAGCCTCAGACACTTGACACTTAACTAGCTGTGTGACCCTGGCCAAGTCACTTAAACCCATTGCCTAGCCCCCTGAAAAGAAATCCCATCAACTTTACAAGAAAGAAAATAGTACGAGACATGGTACAACTTGCCCAAAGTCACACCTGCTAGTGGCAAAGAGAATTAGGATCTTTGAGGGCAGGGACTGTTTTGTCAATATATCTCTAGCACTTAGCATAAGTACTTTGCACATAGTAAGTGAATATT